GACCTGCCCCGGGGCTATGAGTTGCTGGGTGGGCCCAAGCCGCAGCGCGCACACACACGCAGAAGCCCGCGCCCCCACCTGGCCACTAGCGCCACCGAGGGGCTGGTGGATCATGATGCGGCTGTTGGGCATGGAGTAGCGCTTGCCCTTGCGGCCCGCGCCCAGCAGGAACGCTCCCATGGAGGCCGCCAAGCCGAAGCAGTACGTCTGACCAGCGGGATAAGGGGGGGGGCATGCGCAGGGGGGAACGCCATGGGAACGCTTGCAAGCTGCGGAGGGTGCGTTCTGCCAGGTGCAGTGCACGCCGCCCTGATAAACCACTGCTGGCGGGGTGTCGGTGGAACTGCCGGCACGCACGTGCTTGCACACGCCTGCCTTAGTCCCTGCCTTGGTAGCCGCCAGCCACCACCTCTGCACCCGCGCATCTCACGGGACCCGGCCATCGAAACGACCCACCACCCTCAAACCCCAATGCACCTGGACGTCCGAGCGGCAGAGGTGCATGGCATCATAGATGCCCATGCCGGCGGTGACAGAGCCGCCTGCGGGGCGGCACAGTGCGCCGATGCGGTGACGTAAGCAACCCCATCGAGGAGGCGGTTGCGTTTGGCCAACGTCGTGGCGCCACCGCATGTGCATCTCTTCCAGCTCAGCCCCCATCAACACCTCTGGACATGTCCTCGCGGGCAGGCGGCTACAAGGTTCGGTTGACCCACACACTCACATCCCCACCCTCACGTCCCGCAATCCCCAAAGCCCCCACCTGGCGAGTTAATGAAGAGCTTGATGTCCTTCCCAGGATCCTGCTGATCCAGCATCAGCAGCTGGCTCACCAGGGAGTCCGCCCCAAAGTCCTCCACCTCGCCGCCCAGGAAGATGATGCGCTGGCGCAGCAGCACACCCATCGGGTCCCCCCTCAGGTCGCGCGGCGGCGCCGCGGTCTGCTGCTCGGCTCGCACCACCCACGGGCGGTCCAGGCCCCTCGGCTGCTCCTGCTGCTGCGGCTGCTCCTCGTCAGAGCCAGGCGGCGTCCAAAGCGCGGCGCGCACGCGGGTGGCACCGAATGGGGCGCGCCGCTGCTGTGGCCGCAGTGTGCCCGCTGCAGCGCTGCTGTGGCTGCATGAGGCAGCCGCAAGCGAAGAAGACATAATGCCGCGCCTTTTCTTGGCCTTTGACCCTCTGTGCCGAGGAGCGTTGCAGGGAAGGCGACTGATCCCTTGCACGATCTGAAATCGCAGGGCAACGAAAGCCTGCACTCTAGCCGGAACCCGCCGCAGTACAACAGTTCAACCTTCGTTTCAATAATCCTGTGTCGCATTCACGTCAGCAGGTTGCATTGGGAAGTGACCGAGGCTGCCCTTGCCAGCGTAGCCCTCGCTGGCCCAGCGCAATTTATTCAAGGCTGCAAGTTCACTTTGAAAGCACGTTTTTTTGCCGCTACTCACCGCTGTTACGCCTCTGTACGTGGTACAGATCGCCTCCAGCGGCCACAACGACGCTGACAATGAGCTAAGAAGCTTATATGTCAGCAACTGAAATGGGCGCGCACTTTCAAGCAGGTGCAAGCGCACGTGTTCGTGCCTTGAAGCATGGCTGTGGCGAAGGGGTGCGTATGCACACCAACTCGAATGGTGCACCAGGCTTGTGACATGCACCATCCATCCCAATTTGTGTTGCACCACACTGGTCATGTGGACAGGCTGGCTTGTCGCCTGCAGGCAGCAAAGCTGGTTCGACTCCAGCATTGACTGCGCACACGAAGGTGCCGTTCGAGTTGACCAGGACGGTCTACTCGCGTGCGTCTCCTCCATCATTATGGTGTGCAAGCAACAGGTTGTGTATGCATTGCAGATTGTTGTCTGGGATTTATTCAGTTATTTGAACCTGGTCGCGCTCATCACAAGGTCTCAACCCAGCCAGATAGCAGGCTGTTGAAACAGCAGGTTCTCCAGCGCAAGTCGCTGGTGCAGGCTGGGGGTTTGCTGCGCTCCTACTTGGGACGCGATGCTGAAATTGGCCACTCCAAGCCAAAGGCTGACACCTGGATGCACCATGCTGGTGACGAATGCAGACCTTGCTGGGTCTAGCGGCTTCAATGCCGCTTGTCAGTTGTTACTCAGGACGCGCACCATGCTTGCCCGCCTCTTCAGTGATTGGACGAAAAAAAGTCTTAGAAAGGCCAGCAGCAGGTGTAATCCTCGTGTGTGTGTCACGTATGAAATTCAAGGGGTCGTAAGAATGCATGCACGGGGCAGGGCTGGGCGGGGAGGTCACAAGGGGCCGTCAGACAGGCGCATGGCCCAAAGGGACCGCGTGCACGTGCCTGTGCAGGCTCGCATGATGGAGAGCGATGAACCGTGCCGTGCTGGGTTCAAGGTGAGATGATTCTGAGCGGGTGGTCGCAGTTGTGTGCGGTGAGCACTCTTCCAGTGCATTGACATGCGCACGCACCAGGGAAGGGGCCACACTTGTGGGGCCACGAAGGACTGGGCTATGCGTCCACGGGTTGTAGAGTCACAACCTCGGCAGGTCATGACTAGACACGATCAGAAAGACACAGTAGGTGAGTAGGATGTCACAGAGGCTTTTGCGTAAATACTCTAACTGAGCACCAGCATCGACGCTGTGGGTCACCGAATGCCTGTTGTTGGGGTAGGGCTGCCGCATGACGTCTGGTGACCCGGGTGATCACTGTCACAACACGCGCGAGTGCCCTTCAGGGAATCCAACACTCAGCCCCAGCAGCTGCCATCGGCAAAACGCACTGCGCCCACGCCTGCAGGCACCGCCGCCCGTGCGCCCACAGCGCGCGCAGCGGCCGGTGGCGGCCGTTGGCCCGGCTTTGCGCGCCCGCCCGCACCTCAAACTCCCGGCTTTCCCCCGCATCATCGCCCTCCCCCTCATCCACTGTGTACATGTCGCTGCCCTCAATTCCCGCTCCTTCGCTGCTGGACCCAGCCGACCCCTCAATGATCAGCCCTCCAAAGGCTCCCGCTGCGGGCGGCTGCCCCCAACCCTCGGCCGCGCAACCCCTAGCCAAGCTGCCTGCATCTGCACCGCTGCCTCCCGCCACCTCAGCGCGACCACGGGCAGAGATGAGGGCGCAGTGCATGGCGTGGTCAAACTGGTTGATGCCCTCTAGGGTGATGGTCGACTTGGGGTCGAAGGGATCGCGGCAGACGAAGGACACCAGGCACATCTGAGTTGGGAATGGAGGAGAGGGTTGCAAGGGTTGCGCGGAGAAGCGGCGCCAGGCGTGCAGGCAGGTGGACCATGCCAACTCGTCTGATGGCCAGCGCTGGGCCCTGCAAGCACAAGAGGTTCACACTGCATAGACGCTCAGGTGCACAGTGCCTGCTCATTGCAGACGAGCTGCTCGCTTGCCCCTTGAAAGGTGGGGCCCACCTCATCGCTGAAGGGTGCCCCTGTGATGGCCTCCACCTGCTGCTTGAACGCGGCGGCGCCCTCCGCGCCTGGTGGCAGGCTCACCTGCTCGTTCAGGGGCAACACCAGCACGTTATTTTGGTAGCCAGGCATGTGTATGGGTCTGTTGCCGACGCACGGAATGTGACGCGCCTGAATTGCGCCTTTTGCGTCTGCGCAACGCCCCAGCGGCCACAAGTCGGCTGCCGAGGGCTCGTCGGACGTCTCGTCGACTGACCGAGTCTCGTCCCGCGGGCCTGCGCCGTGGCCAGGCTGGGCAGCAACTTGCTGCGGTGAAGACGCGCACCTGGTGCACCTTGCCCGCCACGTGGATGCTCACAATCGCCAACGAGGCACCCTCCTCGGGTGGCGCCGCTCTCGTCCAGGCGGGCAGCTTGGCACTGCAGAAGCGGCAGTGCGTGCCTTCCTGCTGGGACAGGCGCCGCAGCTGCCAGCGCGCCAGGCACTCTGCGACAAGGGTGGGACATCATGGGTGTATGGCAAACTTGGAAAAGCACTATCTCATCCATAATGCGGTTTGTGGGTGACGAGGGTGTGGCCCAGCCCGGCCCACCCGGACACCCGCTTGGCTCCCTCACCAGGGTGCAGCAGGCGCGGGCAATGGCAGGGGGCAAAGAGCTCCCCCCCCTCTGGCCCGCCGAGGCAGATCCAGCAAATGTCCTGGGCAAGGGGGCGTGTGTGTTGGGGGCGAAGTTGAGAGTTGTGAGTATGAGTGTGACAACACATGTAATGAGGCCAGCTTCAGGGCACGTGCACCTGGGTGGGTTGTCAGAGAGGAAAAGGTGCACTTGCACTGTACAATGCGGGCCCCCATCACGCGACACACAGGCCCCCATCATGTGACATACGTACATCGACAAGTACCAGTACACCTGATGTCCAGCATCGTGTTTTGCGCAATTTTTGCAGCAACACGACACATTTTTGTATGAGGGAAGACTTGGACCCACCTGCTCTTGGTCCATGGTGCAGTCCCCGCAGAGCTTGCCTTGGAGTTGAGTGTTCTGCTCCCGAGGCAACTGGCAGCCCTGGCGACTGCCAGTGAGCAGACCCCTGGCCATGCCGCGGCCACACACACACAATGTGGTATGTGAATAACCTCAGCTTGTGCACAGAGGTGTGAATAGCAGTGCCACGATGGCCCGCACCAAGTGATGCGGGTCGAGGCACCCGCGGCGGCGTTCAAACACTTGCTGGACGGCCCAAGCACGGCAGAACGCCCCGCTGTTGCATGCCAAAAAAAGGAGCGAACTTCAGAAAGCACCAAATGTGCCACTTACGATTGGGACGTCCGACACGCTTCGAGCTTTGCCGAGGGACACTGATCGGCACGGTGAGATCAAATCAGCGCCCGTTGACAATGGGCCGTGTAAGGCTTAGACTATGGTAAACAGCGCAGTCCTCTGTTCCGTGATATCTAGTCTTGACTGCAGCTGCGGGCGCTTGGTCAAGGTTCCCAATGACCAACACCTCCACCGCCGTTTCGGCCCACAGCAATGACCCTGGGCGACCGCATTGGGCTTATGCGCGCTCACTTCCTCGTGAAAGTACCAACACGCAACCGTGTCTGACCCTCTATTTGCTCGGTTGATGCTCAGCTGGCGCCCCAACTGACCACTGCGGCCAGCCAAGCCCCCTGATGCATGTTGTCTGCGTGTGGGCAGGCATTGCGTGTGCCGGGTTTCACGACCACCACCCACAGAGCGGCTGCAACCCCTCCTGCTGGCCGCTCGTCGGTTGCAATGAATGAATCATGACCACGAGCCAAGCGTTACACAAGCCGCCACACAACCGCCGCCACACGCGCGCGGCGCCTGCTGGGGCGTGCTAGCCGACTGCCGCACCAGCCTCCGCCTGCGCTGCTGCCGAGCACGCGTCTACTCCGGGTGGACGGGGATCTTGTGGATGCGCGCGGCGCTGGCGAACAGGTGCTCCGGCGCGCGGTCGGCCACAGCGCCGCGGGCGCCCAGGAGCTGCGGGTGGGGTGACAGGGGAAAAGGGGCCAAGCATCGGCATTAGCGACAGGGTTGATCGCAGCAGCAGGCGCGGCACTCGTGGCCCTCTCCGGTGCGCGCGATCCCCCACCACGCCGGCGTTTCTGAGGACCGGCTGCGGGGCAGCGGCTGTTCACGCAGCCCACCGCCCCCACCAGCGATTCTGCGTTTTGGAAGCACAGCCCCAGAGCGCGCCCGCAGCCCCCCCCCCACCGTGGCGTGCACGCCCGAGTTGACGAGGCGGCCCTCCTTGCGCCACTGCACAAAGTCGTCGCGCGAGTAGGGGGTGAAGCCCCAGTTGCGGCTGGTCACGATCTTCTGGCGGCCGGGGAACTTGAACTTGGCGCGGCGCAGCGCCTCGGCGGCCTAGCGCGGTGCATGAGGCGCGACGGAATTTGTTATGCTTTCGAAGAGGTGGGGAGCACTGGTAAACCACACCACCAAATAAAGCCTTATGCAACGTGCCGAGGCAAGCAGCGGCCGCGGCATCCACCAGCCGCAACCGCCACCACCAGCAGTAGCTGCCAGACCGCCACCACCCGGCCGCATTTGTGCCCTCATCCCACGCCACGCCAAAATCCATCACGACACACTGGACGGCCGCCTCGCGGCCGCCGCTCCCTCCCCCTCCTGCTGCCTGCGCCTCCGCCCTGGACTGCACTGCGCGCGCCCTCCCCCCCGCCATGCCCCCCCACTTGTGCTCACCACGCCCTGGTGCTGGTCCCTGCAGCGGATCGACATGAGGATCTGCCCGATCAGCACGCGCGCGGCCACGCCCTGGGGCTTGCCGAACGCGCCGCGCATGCCCGTCTGCAGCCGATCCGCGCCGGCGCACGAAAGCATCTTGTTGATGCGCAGCACGTGGAAGGGGTGCACGCGGACGCGGAGGTGGAAGGACTCCTTGCCGGCGTTCTTGGTCATGTACTTGTTGGCCGCCACGCGGGCCGCCTCCAGCGCCTCGGACGACACGTTCTCCTTCTCCCAACTGTAGTTATGGGGTTGTTTTAGGGGAGACCAGGATGGGGTGGGGGTGATTGTGTGTGTGTGTGTGTGTGTGTGTGTGTGTGCGCGCGCGCGCGGGGATGGGGTGTGTGCCAAGTGTGTGATGAAGACGATCGTTCGCCCCGGGTGGCGACCGAGCCTGCTGCCAGCGTCGCCCATCGGCCGTGAGGTACGCCCGGTACTGCAGCTGACACTGCATCTGCTGCTGCAGTCGCCACGTTGCTCGTCGTCCCCGGCGCTGCCAAGCATCACTGCTGCATTCCAGAGCTGGTGCGGAGTCGTCCCTGCTGCGACTGCTGTGACCAACCAGCAGGACCAGTTGGTGTCCCATCAGCAGCAGACTGGCTGCCCATGATCTAGAGGATCTGAGGTGATCAGCCAGCAATACAATGCGCTCACAGCCCCTCAATCAGTGCTGCTGCTGCTGCTGCTGCTGCTGCTGCCAGTTGCAGTATGTCCGCGCAGCATGGTGCTCTGCGCAATGTTGCGTTCTGCGAAAAGCCCACTGCGCCGGCCGCCGCATCTCAAACCATCACTGCGCAACTCGACTGGCCACACACCTCGCCAGGTGGACGCAGCAGGGGAAGGTGTCCACATCAGCCCTCTTCATGCCCACATCGTAGATGCGGATCTTGGGGTCAGGCACACCACGGCAGTACCTGCTCTTGGGGTACGGCTTACCCTTAGACTGCCTGTAGCAGCGCGCAGGCCCTGCGCACGCAGCAATACGAGGAGCGCGTCGTTTGGTGAGCGCCCTGTGACCAACGAGCTTGCCTTCACAAGAACGGGGCGAACGCTGCTGGTGAAGCAGCAGTCTCGCGGTGTGTTCTCGGCCTGCTGCTGCCCCTCCAAGTGCGCTGCCACCACAGCATAGCTACGGCAAATCGTTTGTCCACGGTTGTGCTGCTGTTGTGCCTGCTGCTGTGGATACACAGACGCCGCCCCACAAGGACTGCCGCGCCTCAGCGGGCGCTGCTCACTCCGCCCCATCTTGACAAATGGACGCTCGGTACAAGCCCAGTGGGCAGAAAGAGGACGACCAGCTGTGATGCGCACTGCTAAGCTGTGTGCAATGTCGAACTGGCAGTGCAGCGGGTGCTGCACCTTCAAAAGGTAATGCACTGAGAGCCAGGCAGCACAAAACAGCTAAAGATTTATGCAAAATTTACAGGTGACGGCTTGCGGGCTCATGCGCGTGGGGGCGTGATGTTCACTAGGGTGATCTGGCACAAGAGCGGCGCCAATGCTCACTTGCAGCGTGGCCGGTCGCTGAGACCGCTGCTGCGTGCGGCAGACATGATTGCGACTCACCTGGTAAGAAAGCATGGCTGCGGCATCATCTGACCACCTCGTTGGTACGGTGCAGGGGGTTTGACCGATTAGACGAGGGCAGCTTTCCAGCTTACCCAGGCAACACCAATTGCGTAGCAGCTCACGACGGCGAGGGCAGACATGGCATCACAAGCACAATCGTATCAACAGCCCTCAGGCAGGAAGAAGACGCCACCGATTGCTTAGGTGCGCAATGATGCCGGTGCAAGCCGCCACACGCCACCAAAAACGTGCCTCGCTGGCTCAAAAGACCGCTACGCGCACAATTGCACCAAATCGTTCCGATGAATAACGAAGCACCGTGATGCTGTACAGCCGCCACGACGGCCGCCGGATGTGCCATATTAAGCCAACTTTCGCCGTTCTTCGTACCCAACCGCAAACATGCCTGGTCACATGGGTGCCCAAGTGAAAATCACGCCATGACGGACGGCGCCAAGCGCTTGGTGATGAAGCTCGTTTCGCCCCTCCAAAGTACCCTGACATGTCGGGCCGAACAAATGGAGCTACAAATTCCAAAGAGGCGAGCCTGCGTGAAAATGGCTCCCTACCGCCTGGGACTGCTGCATTTCGTGTGTCGGGGCCTGCATCCGCTGCAGGAGGGCCCCCGGCCGCAGGCACTGGCGCCCCTCGTCACTCAGCGTTGGGCGCAGATCTTGAGAGCGGCGCGGCCGGCTGCGCGTCGCCGCCGACGAGCTCAAGCTCCCTCGAGGTGGAGGTGGCGGCGGCCATGAGGTTGGTGCCGCTCGCGCCGCGCCGGGGGATGGCCGCGGGCCCCGGCCGGCGGATCGCGATCGGCGCGCTGCCGGCGCCGGCCGCCGCCTGCAGCCGCCCCGACGCCGGCCGCGGCAGCGCCGCGGGCGCTGGCGGGTCGCCCGAAGGCGCGGGTG